CAGCCACTACAGCTCCGATTCAGATGTGGCAGGTACAAGGACTGATCTGCAGGCTCCCATCCCAGGCCCAGACAGATGACAAAAGCATCTCAGGGCAGGAGAGCACCCCCAGGGCACTCTTCAGACTGATGCTCAGTCCCTGATCACCCCTCTGGGCCTTTGACATCTCTCCTTTCCGTCTCCCCCCTCCCCTAGGTGGGGCAGGAGGGGTTGGGGTCCCACCAGGGAACTCCACCCCCACCCCAGCTCCCTTTCTTTTCTGCCACAGTGAAGTGCCAGTGATGCAGGGGGTGGCTGTCACCCTGGTGCTGCCAGGTTCCCCACATGCTCCTGCCTGCAGAGGGGAGCTGGGGCTCAGCCTTGCTAACAGCTTGCTCTTACCTTGAACGTCTCGTTGCACGGACCGGGAGATGGAGCAGAACACACCAGTGTCCTGCTTGGAAGTGACCACTGGGGAGGAAGCAGAAGTTTGCTGCTGTTGTATGGGCTGTTGTGAAAGGATCTGGGCCACATCCCTTTTTTATCTTTAGCTCCTGCCCTTTGTTCAGTAGCACTTTCATATCCGCCACAAATGCTGTCTGTCAGCTCAACAGGACATGCTGTCCCCAAACAGCACTCTGGGGCCCCTCAGGCATACAGCTCTGGCCCCAGGGAGCAGAGGGATGTCCGCTCTGCCCTGCAGGATCCCTGGGTCCTGCTCAGCTGTGCTTGCTATGCAGAACACTGCTGTGAGCTCCAGACAACTTTGTGGTAACCCCTCAGGACTACAGAACTGTGCATGCACTTAGCTAGCATCCCTCAGGCTTCTCCTTACATACCCAGCTCTGCTGGGAGGTACTGGCAGGCCCACAGGATGCTACAGGGTCTCAGCATCCATCATCTTGAAGCTGCCCCCCAGGCTCTCCTGGGGGGGGATGCGAAATGATTTCACCCTGCCGTAAAACTGCTTTCTGCTGATGCCTTGTGGAGGTGAAGCACACTGTACAATGTGTGCTACCAGGAGTAATCTCCATTGGGTTTTGGTGGCCTCTGTGGTGTCTACAGCCATGACCTCCTTTGGCAGTGCTTCCCCTGCCCTGTCCCTGGTGAGGCTGGAACCCTGGGGATGTCCCAGCCACCAGAGGCATGGCTATCAGGTTTGCTGCGTGGTCTGTGGCCCTCTGCAACTGAATTGCGTCCACTTGGAGTGGAAGGGGAGTAGCAGGGCCCCTGCTTGGAGGAGTCTTGGTCCCCCCCCTAGGTGGGGGCTGTGTGCATGGGCACAGGAGCCATCCCCTTCCTGCAGTCAGTGCAGCTGGGGGTCCTATCCCACAGAGCAAAGCCAGGGTTGTGAATGGTGTGCAGCCAAGCCAGCGAGAGCTTGGGGACATTATGATGCCATGCAGATGTCCAGATGTTGTGCACACATGCACATGCAAGCATGCACACCACATCCATCTGGCCACACGTAGGGTCCACCTGCAGAAAGGCAAGTCATGGAGGAAAAAACATGCTAGGCCAGGTGCACTGGGGAAGGTTTTATTGACACTTTCCACAGCTGGGTCATGGCAAAGGTGCTGCTGCAAGCCTGCTCCAGGACACCTGTCTGTCCCTGGTGCAACGCAGATGGGAAGGGGAGAGATGCAGAGAGACCTCTGGCTCTGGCAGCAGAAGGTAACGTGGGTTTATCAGGGTGGATGCACATGGCAGTGCCAGCAGGACCCTGGGAGCTTGGCACCATCATTCTGGGTGCAGATGCATCCAGATGTGCCTGTTCCCCCTGTTCAGCAACTGCCTGTGCTCAGTCCCCAGTCCAGGGAGTTGTGTCTGGTGGCTGGGGCTGACCCCCTCACTGGGGCTTCCCACCCAGCAGAGAAACCTGGAGCATCAGCAACAGCCTGGTGGTGAGCAGCAGCATTTGCAGGGCAGGGCAAAGAGGTTGGCGTGCTGGGGTGGGTTCTGGTGGTCCTCTAGTCTGGGAAGAGCAGGAACCCCGAGAAGACGCTGTCAGAGTTGCTGGTGCCCACCATGCCATTGTAGTCATTGACCGCCAGCCAGACCTGGTTCCCAGCAGCCAGATGGAGGAGGATCCCACCAGAGCTGACCTGCATGGTGTTGGTCTTGTGGTCACAGAAGCTGGCCATCTTGTTCCCATTCTTGTACAGGATGACGCAGAGGTTGGCTGTCTGCGAGGTGTGGAAGACGAAATAGTAGAGGCCGGGGAGCTTGCAGGTGAACTTGCCCGTGGTGGTGTTGTAGTCATGGTTGCTGTTGGTGATGACATGGTTGAACACCACGGGGACGTTCTGCAGGGGGTGCTCGCTGGTCTGCCTCATCACTGAAAATGCTGATTGGTGCTTCTGCTTGTAGCTGCCTGGCATACCTGGCTCTCCAGCCATGCCCATCATCCCAGGATCTCCAGGGGGACCAGGGGGACCGATAGGGCCAGTTTTGCCTGGCAAGCCAGGGCTGCCTGGTTCCCCTTTCATGCCCTTGGGCCCTTGTGTTGCAGGAGTGGCTGGGATGCCTGTGGGGTGGTGGGGAGTGAAAGAGAGCCAGCATCAATGGCAGGATATGGGGAGAGGCTCCTCCAGCTCCTTCCCTTGGGCAGGAGAGGGTTGTTGCCTCTCTCCAGCCTCCTCTCCTCCTGCCCTGTCCACAGAGGATGCTCTCCACAGCCTGAAAACCAAAGCAGACCAGCCACAGAGGACTCAATGGCCCCCCTTCAACAACCTGCATGGTTCCCCTCCTTGCTCACTCACCTGGCTCGCCTTTGGCTCCCTTAAGCCCATCCCGGCCATCCTTGCCTGGCACACCCGGCATGCCTGGCAGGCCTGGAGCCCCATAGCAGCTGTGAGGGGCTTCTCCGGTCACAGCAGATCCCAAATTGAGGAGTAGGAGGGTGAGGGCCAGATGGAGCTGCTCCCAGAAGCTCTGCCCCATTTTGGTGCTCTGGAGCATAGAAAGAGAAAAAAAGTGCTGGGGTGAGGAGCCATGGCAGGGTGGCCTCCAGGCCATGGGGCAAAGGAGGTACTGCGCTATGAGGCTGACTGCACCAGGAGCACCTGGCTGCGATGGCTGTGCCCTCAGTGCCTGCCCCCCCTAGCAATTGCCAGGCTGTGGGGAGGCGAATATGTGGAGATGGACCCTGTTCTCATCACCACCCCCAGGGCAGACCCTGATGGCACAAGGGGGGTTGGGCATGGATGGAGCCATGAGGTCTTGTGGTCCCATGGCCAGCCCCAAGCTCTCCTGGTCCAGTGTCCCGAACCCCCTGCAAATGCATACTCTGCTGCAGACTGTTGCACCATGCTGCACTGAGGCTGGAGCTCCCTGGACCCAGATGATCTCACCCCTCCTCCAGCAGCAGCCTGACTTTCCTGGCTCTGTCTGTCAGGGTGAAGCCCCCCATCAACTGGAGATCTCCCAGGACAGTGCCTGGCCCAGGGGACTGGGTCTTCCCCAAGCAAGTGACAAGCATGCACCCTCCCCCATGACATGTGTGCAGCCTGGCTGTGCCTTTGTCTCCTCCTCCTCCTGTCACATAGCCCATCACTGTGCCATGCTGCTGGACCCCCAATCCCCATGCAGCCCGTCCCGAAGAATGGACCCTGCAGCACCTCTTACCTCTGTTGGGGGGAACAGGGCACGGGATCCTGTGCTGCTGAGCCCTCTGGCTGCTGTCGACACTGCCTGCCAGCACAGCACGGTATGGGTGACTCTCCGTGACACCCTCCTGGAGGAAGTCACAGAGTTAGGAAAGGGCCCTTGGGGACCCAGAACCCCCAGCTGGCCCCCAGCTGAGTTTCACATCCTCCTGCCTGATTGTTTCCTCTGAGCAAGCACTTTCCCGGCTGTCCAGTGAGACCTGCCCTTGTGCCACTGCACAATGATGAGCCGCTGGCAAGAGATGTGCCACAAACTCTCCATCCACCATGGGAAGTATTGCTCTGCAAATCACCTGCCTTTCCCCCATCCTTAACTCATTTCTGAGCAGAAGGGCAGAAAGCGGATGGGGAGCAAACCCTCACTCCAGCTTCGTGGAGGCAGAACCGTCTGTGCAACAATGGCCTGGTGCAAGGTCATTGCCTGGCTCTGAAGGGAGGTGCTGCACCCGTAGGCAATGTGACTGAAGAACATTTCTCCTTGAGGGTTTTTGACCTGCAGGATGGCTGTCCTCTCTGCACTCTGCCCTGTGTTCCACCAGCTCTGCTGCCTCATGAATGCACTGGGGTCCCACCATCCCTGGTCAGGGTGTTGCTCCTTGCAGGTGACCTGGCCTCCTCCTCAATGCTCCAGGAATGGAGATATTTGACTGCCTGGCATGTGTGGAGCCGCTCCTTCGAGGAGCAGTCCCAGGGCATGACACCTGCATGGCTTCCCTGATGCTTTCAGCCTGCCCTACTTCCCACTAGTCTCACCCCAACCTGAAGAGAGAAGAGCATCACCCCACAGTCCCACCACCATCACCCCACAACCCCATCAGTCACCCTGATGTCCCTGTCCTTCCTTGCTGAAAGGCGGGAGGACCAAAGCTGCTTTTTCCCTTCCTGGGAGAGTGTGGATACCAAGAGAGGACCATGTGGGTGAGGTGCATGATCTCTATTTGCCCTTGTACAGGACAGCTAGCTTGGACTCATCAGGAAAAGGACACACATAGGCTAGTCCCAGAGATTTCCCCTTTCCTGTAAGTGCCAGCTCTGCTTGTGTGCTCAGTTCCCTCCTGTCCTTCTGCCTTTGCAGCTGGGGTCTGTGCTTGGCCAGGGTCAAACTGGGATCGCTTCTCTCTCCCTGGGCAGCTTGGGAAGGGGCCCAGGACATTGATGGTTTGGGGAAGACGCATGAATAGGAAGGAAAACCAAAGCATCTGTCTTGGAAGAAAGGTTTATTTATACTGATGGGGAAGATGCAAGAGGCAGAAGTGGCCTGGTGCCAGAAAGACGTTTGCAATGGTTAGCGTAGCACAACCAGTGGCACGCAGTGATTTCCCACTCAGGAGTAAAGACCCACAGCTGGTGAACGGCCCCAGTGACAACTGTCCCCTCTGGTGTAGGGTCTGAGCACCCAGGAACAGAAAGGGCTGCTGGGGCCAGGGTCATCTGCCTCCAGGATGGAGTGGGCAGGCTCAGCACAGAGATAACTACTAGCAGGAGTCTCACTGCTGCAGTGGTGACCCACAGCCTGGCCACCTTGTGACATTGGTGCAAGCACAGGACCTGTCTGGTGGCTCAGTTTGGGGCCGTCCTGGTTTGCTGTGATACTAAACCATCCCACACACTCACAGGGGGAAAACACATGCAGACACGCACACTACAATGCTCTGGTGCTAAGCAGGTCCAGACTGGTGGTCCATCAGCCCGTCCGTCCATCAGCCCGTCCGTGGGAAGAGCATGAAGCCACTGAAGACACTGTCTGCCTCAGAGCCGCTGTAAATCATGCTGCCCCTGGCAGGGTCGGTGCTCACAGAGACCCGGTCGCCCACGGCCAGGCTGAGCACGCTGCTGCCCGAGTTCACCTGCAGGAGGTTGCGGCTGTTGTAGTCACAGAAGCTGACCATGTTCTCCCTGTTCTTGGTGATGCTCAGGCAGAGGTTCCCGTTGGAGACTACCTGGTAGGCAAAGTAGTAGAACCCGGGGACACGGCAGGTGAACTCTCCTGTCTGGGGACTGTAGGAGTTCTCCTGGTTGGTGATGATGTTGTCGAACACCACTGTCCTGCCCATAGATGGTGGGGACCTCCGCGAGGCAGAGAAGGCAGGACGTGGCTGCTCCAGGATATTGCCAGCTTTCCCCTTGCTCCCTTTTGGCCCCGGCTGCCCTGGGAGCCCGGGGAGGCCATGTGGACCGTGGTAGCCCTGGTTCCCTGGGATGCCAGGAGTCCCTGGCTCACCTGCATCCCCTTTGAGTCCCTGGATACCTGTCCTCTGTGTTGATTTCCCTGGGGAGAGGTAGTAAGGAAGAGTAGTTCATGTACATCTGGCATCTCCCAAGCTGCTCCCACAGCCCATGATGCTCCTACCAAGAGGCTTGAGGCTCCCAGGCCACCCGCACTGCACATCCCTGGCTCCCCCTTACCTGGCTCTCCCACGTCACCCTTCTGCCCTGGCCTTCCGTCAAGGCCAGGGACTCCCGGGAAGCCATCCTTGCCATCCGGTGCCCGGCACACGCCATCCTCCAGCAGGGCCATGCCCAGCACTGCTGCCAGTGTGCTGGTCACCAGCCAAAGCCCAGGTTGCATCCTGCCTCCCTACAAGCACAGGGGTGGGGGAATTGGCAGTGGAGGCAAACACACAGCAAACACACAGACATGCAAGTGCTCTCATCAGATGCACGCACAGATCTACCATGCCACCCATGTGTTGTCCAATACAGATAGCTGGACACCACATGAAAAAATAACTTCAGTGAAATAACAATGAAAATAACTTCATGGAAGGATTTTGAGGCTGTTTCATTGCATGAGCTGAAATCATTGATGTCACTGAAAATCTCTGACATGTGCCAATGGCAGGGCTGTGGGATTGGAGAGCCCAGGATGTGGAGCACGGCATAAACCCTTCGGTGCATGTCCTGGGGATGGGTGGTCACGTATCAGATGCATGCAGAGGATGCTTCTTCCAGTGTTGGGGGGAACAAGCACTGATGTACAGAGCAGTGGGGAGCACAAGTGAGGAAGGGATGCAAAGAGACACAACAGAGGAGGGATAAACAAGAAAGGGATAAACAGGCAAAAGGGATCCAGATCTCCAACACTCAGAGCTGGGAGAGAGGAGGGAGGTCCTGAGCACACAGAACTAGCCCAAAACCTGCAGTACTCAGCCCGGGACAATCCTGCAGAGCCTAGTGTTGTTCACAACCACATGGAGCAAGGACAGATTTCTGCAGCACCCGCTCCCCCCACCATCTTCTCCCCCTTTTCCTACTTTAAACCTTTGTGGAGGAGGAAGTGAAGAAAGGAGAGGGACAGGCAGCAAGGACTGGAGAGTGGTGGCAGAGGAGGCATGTGTCCCCAGCTATTTGGGGTGACTTACCTTCTTGGTGGGGGTGAAGACAGACCAGTCTGAGCAGCAACTCTGTTTGCTGGAAACTCTTCCTTTGGAGCAGGGAGGAAGAGGAGCAGGGTAGGGGGGATGTACTTGCATGCATGGTGGTTTTCCTGGTTGGGGAAGAGAAGTGCCAAGTTTCGCTTTCTCTGCATGAGAAAGAAACTTGTTCCCCTTTCCGCACTTGACCCTGGCTGTGCTGGTCACAGTCAGGGAACAGCTTGCTGAGCAAAAGTGCAGGACCGCAGCATTCCTGGCCTGGCCCAGCAGCACAGTCCCTGCAGCAGGGACCGGTGGTGACTGGGCACAAAGCAACACAAAGCTGGAGAGTGCCCAAAGGCAGGCCACAGCTCTGTCACTGCAGGAGGGGCCAGGTGATGTGAGCACTATGTGGCACAGCCATCCAAGGGGTGCTTGGCGGGGCCCAGGGATCACTCTTGATGGCTCCTGGACTGGGTGATGGGTACAGCGTGGCTGTCACTACTACCCAGCCTTGTCATCGCTGCTGCTGGGGGCTGACCCCTCCACACGCCCACCTTGGCACCGCACCCTGACAGAGCAGGGGTCCAGCAAAAGGACCATTAGTGTCTGTGTGGCTCAGCAGGGCCTTGAGCATCCTTGATGAGACATCTCCTTCCTACTGCCCTCCCTTCAGTGGTTTGGGGCCCTTGTCTCTGTAGTAGAGCAAGAGAAGATGGGGGTCTCTGGCACCCAGGTTGCTCCCGGTCCCCTTTGAGTCCGTGTACCTGCCAGATCTGGGAAACCCCAGAAGCTGTGTGTGGCCTGACCCAGATCTGCAAAATGAAAAAGCCCATGCTTACACCGCTGAGCCCAGGGAAGGTGCCCAGGGATGCACATTCAGCTCTGCCACAAAAGAGCCCAAAAATGCCATGAGTACCCAAGCCCCACTACAGCAGGGAGCAGAGGGATGAGATGTGTGGCAATGACCCCAGCAGGTGAACATGCTTGGGACCCTGGGCACCAGCCACGTCACCCCAACAGGGAATGCAGTGGGTGGCTAGGAGGGGATTTCTGGTCCATATCCACCTGGAGTCTCCTTTCAGGAGTCCTGTGGCAGCTGCACTGACCTTCATGAGAAAGCAGCATTACCCCAAAGCAAGAGCAGCAACAGCTGGAGCTCAGGGGAAGAAGACAGTGTGCAGGCCCGGGATCAGGGTGGTCCCAAGGCTAGGGGGACTGGCAAACCCCCTGTTTTCCCCCATCCGCTGCCTCCAGTGCTCCCATGGAAGCTGTTGCATTGTTTCCAAAACAGCTGAAAAAGAGACTGACTAGTGTGAAACCAAAAATCAACCCCAGAGACCCTTGCCAGACAAAACTTCGCTCATCAGTGCATCTCCATTAATAATTACCTTTGGAGATCTGTCACTGAGGTGGTCTTTAATTCATTGAATATATGCCCTCTTAATGCAATATAATACACATATTTAATCAAAATGTCACCCTGTAATAAATCAGATGCTCAGAAGAAATGCAATTTTATACTATCAGCAGAGTTCCTCTATCAACCAGACCTGTAATCGTGTCAAGAAAAGATGACAGGTGAGTTTGAAAAGACCTACCTTCCACAAAATGCTGTTTCTGGACAGTAATTGTATTTCTGCCCTATTGCCCTTTCTTAATAGATGGCCAAAATGAGACCACTCCATCATTTCATCCAGGATTGATCAATGGCTCTGTCCTGGTGCTCCTGTGTCCTTTGTCCCTGACTGTCCCCTTAACCCCATTTAAATGCTGAGTTACAGGGGGCTGGTTATGGGTTTCCAGCATCTCTTGGAAGCTGGTGGCTGGTCCAGACGGCACTTCCTCCAGGTCCTTGAGACTCCTGAGCAGTGCTTAGACCCACTCCCTCAACTTTCAGTGTTGCTGCGTCCAAGCCAAGCCCTCCTCTCCCATCCTCTGAGCATCTTCTCCTCCCCATCTGCAGCTGGGACATAGAATCATAGAATCATAGAATCGTTTAGGTTGGAAAAGACCTTTAAGATCATCCAGTCCAACCGTTAACCTAACATTACCAAGTCCACTACTAAACCAATTAAGGGTAGAGTAGCAACCCCACGCGTCCTAGCTTGGTGGTTGGATCATTTATAATGAAAGTAAAAACTAGGAATCATTAAGATTGGAAAGGGCCTCTAAGATCATAGAAGACGGCTGGCTGCAGGGAGCCGTGGATGAGCACTGCACAGCTTCATCCCGGAGGCTTCTGCAGACCACAACTGCCAGCACAAAAATACCTCCATCCTGGCACTCTCCTCCTCCTTCCCGTTCGCACCAGGGTGTCTGTGGGAGCGGGTGCCAGCCGAAGGACGCGGTGGGGCACAGGCGGCAAGGTGACATGCCGCGAGGTGGCACTGCTGCCTCAGCTATGCTTGGTGGCACCTGCCCATCAGGGCCCCCCTTCCTCCTCCAAAAGCAGGGGCGGGGGCGACCCCCCGGGATCCCCGCGTCCCCAGAGGCCACACCGCAGGATGTCCAGATGCAGAGCAAGCACACGGGCATCTCTGCCTCGGCACCTGGTGATCACACGTCGGGAGCCGGAATAACCCAGCTCCCTCCTGCAAACACAGCCTCAGTGGGGCCACAAACGCCCTTCTCCCAAGCTGGGAGTAGTTTGGCACCCCATGAGACTAGAGGAGAAGTGATCTTTCCTCAGTGAGGGCCAAGCCATGGTGGAAGGAGCGAGGGTCACGAAGCTCTGGCAGGTTATCCCTAGGTCCAGCAGCGTCCTCCAGGCAGGCTCCAGCATGGAGAAGGGGCCAGGATGACAGAGGGGATACTCAGATGACATGAAATGGGGCCAAGCCCAAGCCAGAGGGGAAGGTGGGTGTATGCTCGAGCAGCCAGAGGGTGCTCTGCAGAGCCCCAGGCAGCCCCAGAGAGGATGGCCCTGGGTCTGGGGGAACCCAACCACTCTGGTGAGCATCCACATCATTTAGGGCACCTGTCATGGCCTCCTGGCTCTGCTGCGGACCCAGGATCAGCCTTTATCCAGATGGATTTTACCCTGAGCAACCCTCCTTCATTCAGCATCGGCCATGGGGCAGCTCCTTCACCTCCTTGCTGCCCTCCCACTTGGTGGTGCCAGACAAGATAGGTCAGTGCCATCCCAGCCTTGCAGCTCTTTGTGGAAGAAAAGTGACCCCTGAAAAAGCCTCCTCCCTGTGTCCCCAGTGCCTGCAGGCACACAAGCTGCCTGACAACAGGGAGTCATGTTCCTGCACTGCCTTCCCTGCTGGGGATCCCCTGGGGTGCTGAGTGGTGACAGGCAGGAGCTGCCAGAGGAGGATAAATCTGGTAGCTAGCACCAACCTGTCACTGTAAAGGAGACAGTGACAAAGGCATGTGGTGGGAGATCAGCAGTACTGGCAGGGACTGCACACACCTCTGCTGCCAGTCACCAGCATCCCAGCCTGCCACCTGCACCCACCAGGAGGTCAGGACAGCTCAGAGTGTCCGTGCTTCTGCAGTCACTGGTGGCTTAATGGTGCCTGAATAACCATGCAAACTGATTTTGCAGCTGTTGAGCTGGCCTGTCCCAAAATGCTCAACCTGTGCTGCTGAGCACCAGATAAACTTCCTGCACAATGCAACAGTGTTCGCATAAATTCTGAAGTTACCAATGCTTCTATCAATGAAACAACAAGTTGGGATGGTTCAGGTGCCCTGGAAGGATTTCCTGAGTTGTCAGCTGAAAATCAGGCTGCAAGGCTACTTGCCATGTGATGTCTAAAATATTTTAATTGCTGTCCCAGGGGATGTGTTATTCCTATGACAGATGCTTATACGGAGCAGGGGTGAGGAGCAAAGACAGGTATGGGGCTTAAAAGCCAGGATTTCACACTCCAGCCCTTGTTCACAGTCTCCTGGCATTGATGCACATCCCTGTTGCCTCACGGGATGAGAGGAGATAGATGAGTGCTGAGCAGCCCTGGGCAATGCTGGGAAAGCTTGTGCCATCCCTCCTCCTCTTGTTCTTGTTAAAGATGTCAGGACTTGTTGTTATTTGACATCTATTGGTTAATTTGGTTGATTGTTTCCCATTCTTTAATGTATCTGTTATTTATTTATTCGCTTGTGTAACGAGCAGTTCCGGATTGATCACTTTGGCATGTAAATAAGCTGCTCTAGTGCTTGTCACTGAAATTTCTAGATTGGGAGAGTTTACAATCAAACACAG